AGCGCGAATTCCAAAAGTCACGTGGCAAGTCGGGCGAAGGCAGCTCTGGTGGATCCCCATTTGCTCAAGAAATCCAGGATAAGCCTGTGCGCTCAACTTTAGGCTCCCGGCATTGGAAACATACGACGGTGGCTCCGACCCCACGGAACATGTCGTGTTCTGGGCTCAAAAGGCCCTTTACGGCACCTCCGATGCCTTGATGTGTCGGGTGTTCCCGACTACCTTCAAAGGACCAGCACGGGCATGGTTCAGCCGATTATGCCTATCCTCGGTCTCTTCCTTTGACCAGCTCGCGAGAGAGTTTGAGCAAAACTTCCTGGCCAACGTGCGACCTAGGCCTTCCATGGCCACCTTGCTCGTGTTATCCCAACGCGAAGATGAGCTACTCTCTAGTGCTTTCATTGAGATGTTTTGCTCGAGACAATACATCCCCAAAGGGGTGTACACATTGCGGTCGAGACAATACAACCCAAAATTTGCCCTGACTAGGACAAAGGAAAAAAATACATCCCTCAGTTCAGGGGACCCTCCAGGCTATCGTCGAAAGGGACTTCGTTTGGCATCCTGAAGCTCCGGTCCTTAGGAAGACCAGTGAAGGGATCCGGCTCCACCTCCAGGTCAAGACACTTCACCCGAACACGTGCAAGGGCGACCTGGTACCCGAACTCATAGGTCACTTGGCCCAACCTTACCAGACCAAGTTGGAACCCCGTGGACTTCTTGTACTCGGAGATAGCCTTCTTCACTCTTTCGAGTGCCAGTCGGTGCTCCTCAGCCAGGGCCTCTTCCGTCGCCCGGGATGCGGAACACGCAACTTTGATGTTTCACGAAAGAGAGAGTAGCTCGTTGTCCAGAGCCCGAACCCGCCCTCGACACTCCTTCGGTTGATGCTAGGAGTCGACCAGCTCGGCCTTCAGTCACTCGACCTCGGCCTTTGATTCTGCGGCACGCTGCTTGGCCGCCACCACAACCGCTGGGCTAGGCCCACCTTTCAGCTCCTCGATCTCTCGACGAAGGCTCGAGTTCACCTCGCCCATGCGCTCGATCACCCGACTGATGTGTAATCGCGGTCGATCAACGCCATAGTGTAATGTTGTCCCTGCAAGATGATCGGCGTCAGTGCTTGTTCACCTAAAAAAAAAAAAAAAAACTCACCCAAAAGAGGGACTTGGTCGCCCGATCCATCAGCACCACGGAGGGTGAACAGTATAGCTGCTTCGCTAGTGTCGGATGTAGCATCCCTCGCGAGAACTCTTGAGCTGCCGACCCATCAAACTATATCCTACTCTCAGCTTTGAGAGTGGGTCATGGTGCTGTAAGGAGCCTCGGGCTTCTCCTCCACGAGGTCAACCATGCTAAGGGCCTAGAAAGGCTCCCCTTTGGAACGAGCACGGATGCGGCACAAGTCCCGCATCGACTTTGGGCGAGTTGTAGACCTCTCCGAAGGGCCTTCACCAGGAGAGCCGGCACGCCCCCTCTCCCGCGCCTGCGCCAAGCCCTCGCCCTGGAGGCCTCCACCCGACTTACCCATCCCCAGCGTCACCTTTTCACGGTTCGCCACACTTTTCAGAACCTTCTAGGTGCCGACCTTGGCTTTCTTCTTCGACCGACCCACCTCTGGATCACCGGGTGACTTCGACCCACGTGCCAGCATCCCCTTTCTTAAAGGAACCCTGGAACCGGATCCTTCGCGTTCTCGCGTCGGTTGCATCGTGGCCGTAGAACGGGGCATCCCCTTTGGAGGTTCACCATCTCTGCAAAATAAAGGCATGATTAGTGAGGCGTCAGGAAAAGAAAAAAGAAAGAAAGCACCCCGGGCACGAATTTGATCGTACCCCTAGTAGTTGGACTTAGCCCCTCATCAACCAACCACTCCTCGGTCATCCCCTTGATGGCCCGAGAAGAGGACAGGATCTCTCTCAGTCGCTCCACGCGCTCGGCCTCTTCATGTGAAAGAAAAGGAGGAATGTTGTTGATCACTCGGGGGGTCCACCCAACGCAAAACTCCCACCCCCGACTGCAACTCACAAAGAAGTATCGGGCCTTCCACCCCTTGTTGTTGGAGGGAGCCCCAGTAATCCTAAACCCACTTTGGGCGGTTAGATAATACCCACCCCGCCCCTTGCATAGGCGAAAGCAAGCCAAGAAGAGAGTTCAGGTCAGTTCGATCCCTGCCCCCCGACATTCCCCGAGGAAAACCACCATATAGCGCCAAGAGTTTGACACCATCTGGGATGAGGAAATCCCCCACCAGCGGAGGCATTCTCGGATGACCAGGTGCAATGGGAAACGTAGTCCCACCTCCAAAGCATCAGTGGTTAGCCCGAATCCATTGGGAAACAGGTCATAAGGGTGCTGACTCGGACGAGGAGCATGAAGCTCTTAATCCTTTAGGATACTGTAACGATCCTAGATCGGACCTAACAAGTTCTCGGGCACCGTCGAGTCCACATCATGCCATGACCTAATCACCTGCAGGGCTGCAAAAGCCTTCGAATCCACCGGGGACGAGCCACTCGACGAAGAACTAATCATTTCTACCCTACAACTATCGGAGCCCGAGCTGCTGATCTCGGAAACTGATCGACTAGAAGAGGGGGGAGAAGAAGATGAAGACATCCCGACCTCAAAACAACGAGTAGCAAGCCGAGTCGTAAGCAGGGAAAGCAGCAACGGAGCAATGCCACCCCCTTCCATAGTTAGGGGTTTATAAAGAAGAAACTCGCCACCCCCAAGCTGACGTTTGGGCTCCCCGAGGAAAGAGATGATCGCAGCACTTAAAACCCACCATAACTCCTAGATTCCCTAGTCTCGAAGCTCCCGCCAGAAGCCGCTCATGACAGGAACTCTCTTGCCAGAAGCCGCTCGTGACAGAAAATCTCTCGCTAGAAGCAGCTCATGACGGGAAGTTTCCCGCCAGGACCTGCATTGCCCCGCTCGACACGAGCACTCGGACACACGTGTACACTACCACACGTGCCCGAGTCGTCAGCCCCAAATCTGAGCCTGAGTTTAGTCGCTCGACCAACAGGTTCAATCTTTGCCTGAGTCGCACAGCTCGGTCCCCCGACCAACGACTCGTCAATCTCAAACCCGAGCCCGAGTTTAGTCGCTCGGCCAACAAGTCCAATCTTCGCCCGAATCGCGCAGTTCGATCCCCCGACCAGCAACTTGTTAGTCCCAAACCTGAGCCCGAGATCAGTCGCTTGGCCAACAGGTCCAATCTTTGCTCGAGTCGCACAGCTCAGTCCCCCGACCAGTGACTCGTCGATCCAAAACCTGAGCCCGAGATCAGTCGCTCGGCCAATGGGTTCAATCTTTGCCCGAGTCGCGTAGCTCGGTCCCCCGACCAACGACTCGTCGGTCCCGAACCTAAGCCCGAGCTCAGTCGCCTAGCCAACAGGTTCAATCCCTCCCCAAGACACGAAGCACGGCCCACCAAGTAGCCCCGTGATAAACCAACCCGACTACCCCTCACGAGCAACCAATCCACACACGGCACTCCTACGAGCTAGACGCACCCCTCGCCCTCTTGCAAGGACCCATGGTACGCCTCGATGGGGGGGGGGGGGGGGGGCGGGCGAGGGGGAGGGAGAAGTGAGTAAGGC